GCGGGGGAGAACGGGGCTCGGAAGGGCCGGACTCCTGCGGGGGAGAACGGGGCTCGGAAGGGCCGGACTCCTGCGGGGGAGAACGGGGCTGAGGAGGGCCAGCCTGGGGCAACTCCTGCGGAGGAGAACGGGGCTCGAGAGGGCCCAGCGGGAGCAACTCCTGCGAAGGAGAACAGGGCTGGGAAGTGCCGGACTCCTGCGGGGGAGAACGGGGCTGGGAAGGGCCGGACTCCTGCGGGGGAGAACGGGGCTGGGAAGGGCCCTCCTGGGGCAATTCCTGCGGGGATGAACGGGGCTCGGAAGGGCCGGATTCCTGTGCGGACGAACGGGGCTCGGCGGGACCCGCCTGGGGCGACTCCTGCGAAGGCGAACGAGACCCGGCGGGGCCCGGCGAGGACTCCTGATGGGGCGAACGGGGCTCGGCAGAGTCCGGCGAGGAGCGCTCCTGCGGGGAGGAGCGGGAGTCGGCGGGACCCGCGGCCGGACCGCCGGGCCCTGAACCCGGCCCTCCCCGCTCCTCACCCCGCGCGGTTTCTCCCCTCACAGCCCAGCACCCGGTCGTGCCCCCTCTCCTGCCAGCCCCCGGCTCCCCTCCCGGCTCTCCGTGCCCGCCCTCCCCGCGGCCCCGCACCTGCAGCTGCTGCCGTCGGAGCGCCGCCGGCTCCGCGGGCAGCCGCGGCCCGGGCTGGGCCAGCGCCATGGCGCGCGCGGGGCGGAGCGGCGTTTCCCGCCCGCGCAGCGGCGGCGCGGCGGGCCCGCCCTCAGCGCCCTCGGCGTCCCCAGCGCCCTCGGCGCCCTCGGCACCCCCCTCAACGCCCTCAGCGCCCTCCTCAGCGCCCTCAGCGTCTCCAGCGCCCTCAGCGCGGCGCCGCGGCCGGGCCTGCGGAGTTCCTCCCTGCAGGCGCGGGGCGCTGGCACAGCCTGCCCACAGCAGCTGCGACGTGCCCGGGGCCGGGCTGGAGGGGGCGCGGAGCAGCCCGGGGTGGTGGAGGGTGTCCCTGCCCTGGCAGGGATGAGCTTTAGGGTCCCTCCCAAGCCAAGTGCGGACTCGGTGCCCAGGAGCAGCAGATGGAATCCCGGCTCCGGGCACGCAGGGCAAGGGCTCGTCCTGCCCTGCCCTGTCCTGCCCGGGGCACAGCCGCCCTCACACCGACACGGCCGTGCCTGGGCCACGGGCAGCTCCCAGCACGGACGAGATCTCGGTGCAAAAAGAAAACAACTTAAGTGAAAAAAAGCACACCCAGGGCAGGGTTAGACGCTCCCAGTCCCAGGCGGTGAGGAATCAAATAGGAAAGTTAAAAACATTTTTCCTTCCCAACCTGCTCTTTGCAGAAAAGCAGCCCAGCTCCCAGCGCTGCAGCACTGAGGCAGGAGCAGGCGAGGACAGAGGCAGCCACAGCTCTGGGGAAAAACAGCCCCCAGCATCTGTGGTCACGATCATGTCCCTAAGGAGGCTGTAAAGCAGGATCACAGGGAAGAGCGTCACCAACAGGGGACAGTTCCTAGAACCACTCACAAGTACAAAGGCACAAATAAACTGACAAGTTAAAAAATACTTCTTTAATGTGAGCTTTCGTACTCAACAAATACACAAGTCCCAGAAGGTTCAGCAGCAGCAAATGAAACAAAAATTTAATAAACAGTGATTCCATCTTCGGGAAATTCATCCAGTAATTGCATTTCCCAGCTAAAGTACGGAATACGAAGGCTGAAGGAAGCTCCTGGATTTGGGTTTGGGCAGTGCCATCATGGCCAGCTTCCAAGCAGCTCCCTGTGTGCCACCAACACTGTAGGACACGGAGCTGGCACCAGAAGAAGCTGGAGCCTTCGAACTCGGCCGCTTCTTGGTCCTTCTGTACCTGCTGTAGCCACTGCAAAAATCAGAGAAGGTGTGTGTGAGACACCTGTGGCACGTGCCCTGGGCCCTGCACCAGCCTGTGCTCACACAGACACCACCACTGCATTTTCTAGAGAACTACACACTCATTCTGTAAAATTTACTTTTTTTTTTTAATGCACATGCTGCAAAACGACCTCTGAAATGCAAACAGTACAGCTGCTGCTCTGGGATGTACCCAAGGGTGAGCAGCAACAGCAAGTGACACTTCAGAGGCAGCAGCAGCTAATTAGAGATATTCCAGGAGATGGGAAAGCGCCAAGGGTGGGACAAAACCTGCTGGGCTGGGAAAACATTTGCTACAAAAACCAGGGAGCAGAATGATGAAACTTGGGGCAGGGAAGGGGACATCTTTGGGAAGTAGCAGATCTGCCCAAGAAGCTCAAGACCAACGAACATTAGGTGCAGGTGTTGCTTTGCATGATACAATCAGAAGGAGAATCTGAATTAGCAAGGGGCCAAAGTTCAAATATTCCATCAAATGTTCAAAGTTTTAAGACCTCTTCATCATTGCAAGCAAGGAACCTGGTGAGCCTGCTAATGGCAGAACACTGAAATGTAGTGTTCCTTGCACAGCCTGCAGCAGCCAAGTTTGAGGAAAACTGTTAAATATCTTTCCTCACCAGATTTAAAAAGCAAGCATGCAGAAAAGCACAGCAGAGCAGTTCTGACCAGGCACCTGGATAATTTTAATGTCATTATTTAAGCCCACACCCAAGAAACTGCAGAGGCATGACTGCAGTTCTGGGATCATCACTGTGCAAAGAGAAGTGACGAGTGAGCCCAAGCACATACCCTCTGGGGTGGAACTGCTGGCTGCCACCACCAGTCTTTTTCCTCTTGGAGTCCATGGAGGTCGGCAGCCTCTTCCTTTTCCTCCTCTGGTTTGTGTCATTGCCAAAATAGCTGGAGGTTGTACCTGCATCCTCTGCTTCTCCATCGCTCCCCAGCGAGCCCGTGCTCCCCGTGGCTGTGTCCCCACCTGGGCAGGCAGCATCCTCTGCACACAGGCACAGAGGGAAAACTAACTCAGTCAGGTGTCACCAGAACACCCTGGTGGAGTCACCAGAACACCCTGGTGGAGTCACAACATCTGTCCTGGCTGTTCCTCACCTCCTCTGCACTGCCCCATCCCCAGTTTTTCACATATACCCTGAATTTATCTCTAGTGGGAAGGCAGAAAGACTTTGGTGTGTTCTGAAAGTGATTGCTCCCTTTTGAAATTATTGAACTGTACAAATTAGTTATTTGTGATTAAATCACGGTAACTTTCAAATCAACCATCTGCTAGAGGAGGAGAGAAAGGCACTGAACAGGAAGTTCACGTTGAGGTACAAAGCACACCTGAGATGGCGCATTCCGAGTACTTATCCATCACTTTAATTATTTCTGCACCGTATTTCTCCAGTTTGTCTTCTGTGACACCGTCAATCTGCAGCAACACCTCCACGTCTGAGGACAAGGTTTCTGCAGCACAACAAAGTACCCCTCAGACAGGTCAAACAAATAACTTTTCACAAAGATACCCCGAAGGAAATTCCTTTCCATGCCCCTCTACGTAGAAACCCCAAATTAGTTCTGAGAAACCTGACCTTACCTGCTATTTTCTTTAAGGTGGAAGTACTGAAAATATTGAAGTAATGCACATCAAAGACTTTGCCCAGGGTTTTGCAGGTGTCTGTAAGTTCACTGAGGCACTGTTTAACCATCTCTTCCCGCTGGGACATCTTTGCCATGGAAGCCCTTTGCCTTCTGATGGCACTGGCACTCTCTGTCTCGTGGAACTCCACCTGTTAAAATGAGCCATCCATACCTGCTGCCAAGGAACTCCTGCACACCCTGACTGGTACCACAGGAGCACAGCACAGGAAAGAGGGACCATCCTCTGATGGACCAAAAAAAGCTGTTCACCCAGCACACATTTTTAAAGTAAGCTTTTACAGGCTACTCAACCACACCCCAATTTCTTCTACAAAGGGCTGGCAGAGTTTAGAGAGAAGGAAAACCTCCCAAGAGCCCAGTTCCCAGTTGATTTCAAACAGTGGTCACTGGGGTAATGCTGAGGGCTCTGTCCTGCTCCAAACACAGCCCTAAGGCAGAGGAGGTGCTGCCTCAAGAAACCTGGGACTGTTCCACGACCTTCACAAAGTGCCTATTCCATCAAATCCCACCAATGACTAGGAAAAAATAGAGTAGAAAATGAAAAAGGGAATGCTGGTTCTTCTTCTTTCTCTTCTTAGCCATCTTTCTCTGGGGGTCAGAACTTTCCTTCGCTACCCAGCAGGAATCAGATGGATGGGGAAGAAGAGAAAGATTTAGACTTCTCCAAGCTTCTCAAACTCACTATTTGCCTCACAACATTATTACTGGAATACTGGGCTAGGAATCACATTCTGTTCCTCGCATCTACCAGACGTCAGTTCAGCTGGAGGCAAACTGTATTTAAGCTACCCGAGGGGATATGCTAAAGGAAACTGCAGCACCTTCCTTAAAACAATGCCTTCAAGAAATGAAATAATTACACACCTGGAGTGACCCATCCAGCACAGCCTGAGCTCTCTCTCCCAGAATGACATATGCCACTGCCTGGTCATTAGCTGTGATGTACAAATCCTCATCCAGGATCTTGTCCAGGACCAGTTTTCTAAACAGCCTTTCAGCATTGTGCCTCGAATAGGCAGCCCCCTTCCCAAATATTCCAGACTGAATCTTGGCACTCGTTGAACCTGTGCAACAGAAAGCACAGGATGAACCCGTGCTCACAAATCCCATGTACATGCATTTACAGACCTGTGGGATATTCCCAAGGCACTCTATTCACAGTCAAAAAAGCCTTTAAACACTGCAAAACCAATATCATCACTATAGCAACCTGAAATGGATTAAATCCTCAGTTTCATTTATTTTGGATCACTTACCACCAAGAGATTCTTGGGAAAATTAACTTTGCAAACTACACATTTTTTTAAACACCTGCTGGCATTGCACAGCCCTCTTGATTCCTGGTCAGGGATTTGTGCACCAGGTTACTCAGGAGTTTCTGGGAGAACAGACTCACCTAGGAAAATGTCCACCATCATGTTCAGGGTGTACCTGCCAGAGCCGGGATTCCTCCTGCCGTCCATCCGCCCCGCCCGCCCGCAGTGCTCGCGCACAAACCGCACGATGCCCTTCACGTCCTCGGTCACATCCCGCGATTTGTAATCCTGTTAGGTCACACCTGATCAGCACGTGCCATTACACATTTCTGCCCTAATCCAAGCTGTTACTGACAACCCCAGTTTTCACTATTGAGCTTTTCTCAGCTGTCAACTGAGTTTGCTCCAAATAAAGAAACCGTGATTTCCTACTTAGAAACCTACAGTGGTACAGTCACAGGGATTCTGGATGTGATAACACAAAACCAGTCCAGCTGACTGTATATAATCTCCCTGGGGTTATCTGTGTAGAGGGAGGTGCAAGATTGCTGGGTAAATACTGGGAATCAAGGTAAATAATTTGGAAACATTCCTGTAATTATCCTGCCATGTTCTAGAACATTAGAATGAGACTAAATATGCATTATCCTCATCAAATTTGGTTCCAATCACAGCTGCATAAGGGAATGCTTCAAACACAGAACTGAGAAACAATATCCACAGGTACAAAACTGATCAGGATCCCTTCCCTGCCGGCCTCCACAGCTGCCTTCCCTTCTGCTACTGCTACTAAGTTTGCATAACCCCAAATGTTTGGACACCTTCAGCAGTGCACACCTAATGTGGCCCTCATGCTGCTCTGGCAGTACAAAGCTGTCCTGAAAA